GTGAGCTGACAACATCTTGATGACCACTGATGGTGCTACACAAGGAGAGAAGAAAAGTAAGTGGGCAGATGAGTGCTCTCTTCCTGAAGACAGTAGATATAAGTGGCAGAGAGACCGATGACATGTAGAAAACTAGAGCAGAGTCTCCTTAAGGGGACTGGAAACACAAACATCTAAATCTTAGAGTGCTCTCCTATGGGACATGCAAAGTCAGGTCAACCAGGGAAATGATATGTAATAAGACAGGAAGACACTGCTCAAAAACACAAGGGAATGAGACTCTACTCAGACTGTACTCAGCCTCCTCCATCTCTCACTCCCAAATAATAAAATAATACAAAATCACTAGCCCTGAAACACAGTAAAAATCTGTAGGAACAAAATCAAATGGTAACTACCATTTGATCTGCCCAGTGCCATCCAAACAATATCAAAATGGAGAGAATGGTTTAGAATCCATGCAACTATATTAGATGCTGAATTTTTCTGGGGATTTTTGGAAGCAGAAGCAACAGGGAGAAAAGTTGACTTTTCTCTTCTTAAAAGATGACCTGCAAGTGGCCACCAGACAGATGAAAAACTGCTCAGTATCCCTGGTCATCCAGGAGATGTGAAACTATAATAGGAAGTTACCTCACCCAAGTAAGAATGGCTATTATTGAGAAGACAAAAGAGAGCAAGCTGATAAGAACATACAGAAAGAGAATCCTTCATATAGATTCTGGTAACGTAAGTTAGTACATCCATTATGGGAAACTGTATGAAATTTCCTCAAAACTTGAAAATAAAACTGGCATATGACTGGTCATGTTATAAATGGTCAAGTGGATCTTAGCAGAAAAAAAGGCTTTTCATCCCCGATTGACCTAGAAGTCATGATGTGAAATATGCCAAATACAGAAAGAAAAATACTAGGTAATCTCACTCATGAGCAAGCCTATGAAAATTGCTTATCTTTTCAGAAACACAAGAAAGAAGATGGTGGATATGAGAGTCTGAAGAGAGGAAGAAAGTCAGGGAATAGGGAGACATTGCTCAATGAATTCCAAGCTACAGTTAAGCAGATGTATAAGTTAGCCAGGCACTGGTGATTCGTGTCTGTAATTCTACTTACTTGAGAGGTAGAGATCTGTAGGACTCAAGTTTCAGGCAAGTCCTGTTTCAAAAAGAAAAACAAAAAAACAGCATGGTAGCACAGGTCTGTCATCCAAGCTATGGTGGAAATTTTAAGTCCAGGATAGCCTGAGCAAAAAGTAAGACCTGATCTCAAAAATAACCAGAGAAAAAAGAGATGGAGGCACAGTTCAAGTAGTAGAGTCATTAACTAGTAAGTATGAAGCTGAATTCAAATCCCAGTACCACTAGAAGAGGAAGGAAGTGGGTGGACAAGGAGGAAGGAAGAAGAAAAGAAGAAGATGGAAGAAAAATGAATAAGAAAGAAGGGGGGCTGGGAATGTGGCTTCGTGATAGAATGCTTGCCTAGCATGCATGAAGCCTGACTCCTCAGTATCACATAAACAGAAAAAGACAGAAGTGGAACTGTGGCTCAAGTGGTAGAACAAAAGAAGCTCAAGAACAGTACCCAGGTCCTGAGTTCAAGCCTCAGGAGTGGCAAAAAATTAAAATTAAAAAATAAATTTTAAAAAGAAGGAAGAAGAAAGAAGAGAAAAAGAAGAAAGCGGGGAAGAGGGAGAAGAGGGGAGAAGGAGTAGGAGAAAGGGGAGAAGTGAGAAAAAGAGGAGGGGAAGGAGGGAGAAAGGGGAGGGGAAGGGGAAAGGGAAAGGAGGAGAAAGGAAGAAGAAGGAGGACAGTTGTACGGTTAACAAGACTGAAATATTGATTTTACTAAACAACAATTCAATCATTGATTGTCAAGTATAAAGAAGAAATCTCCAGATACTCAAGCAAAAAACTAAACCACATAGAAGACATAGGGAAAACTCCCCAGAACACTCATCCTTACAAGACAATGAAAGAATGACCATGAAATTTAGCAAACTTTAATCTGAAAACATTGCAATTAATTAAGATAACAATTGCACATACAAGGCACTGACAGATACTCACTGGAATGAAAGGCATCAGAAAATACAATATGTATGGTTTTTTCTCAGAGAAGGAAAATTTTCTTGACAGATGATAAACAGCCAAATAAGAGATGATTAAAAATCTACTTAAGAATAGCAACACAAGTTTTAAAACCTGGCCGTGAACAATGAACACTTAAACATAAAGTGGAAAGTAGACAATTAATAAAGTAAGGCAGCAAAACTCAATCTGAATGTTACAACCAGAATAATGTTAAAGTAGTCTCAGAACTTCAAAGTGGGAGGCGAAAGGGAGGTGAGATGGAGAAAACTCACGTACTTTTTCTAACAATGGTATCATAGCTCCCATGTAGGTATCTTTTATAAGTATGTGATTCCACTTTTGTATAATAATAATAAAAGTCTGAAGAGAAAAAATAAAATGTTCACATTGTGGGGTTAAGTCTGAACAATGAAATACATGATCAAAGTCAGTCAGGTGTCTGTGACTCAAGCCTATAATCTTAACTACTCAGGAGGCTGAGATCTGAGGATTGTGGTTTGAAGTTTCAGGAAAGTTCCTGGACTCTTATCTCCAGTTACACACCAACCTTCTGGAAATAGAGCTGTGACTTATGTGGTAGAACTCTAGCCTTGAGCAAAAAGCTGAGGAACAACTCCTAGGCCCTGATTCAAGTTTAAGGATTGGCAACAGAAGAAGAAAGAAGAAAGAAAATAACAGCAGCAGGAGGAGGACAAGGAGGAGGAGGAGGAGGAAAAAAAGTCATGGTCAATAAAGAAAAAACAACTGTTAAAGAGGAAATGTTATTGGTGTGGTATGGTGTGTGTGTGTGTGTGTGTGTGTGTGTGTGTGTGTGTGTGTGTGTGTGTCCCTACTAAGGCTGGAACTCTGCCTGACTTTTAAAAATTATTATTATTATTAATATATTTTTATTGTACAGATACTTACAAAGGGGTTACAGTTATATGAGCAAGGTAATGAGTCCATTTTGAGCATTGTTACATCCTCCTTTATATTTCTGCTATCATCCCTTTCCTTTCCACCTTCCAACTCCTCCTTTCCCTCTCCCACCCACTCCCTGTCACAAAGTTGTAAAGTTCATTTTCAACTGTCTTGTACATCTCATTGTTACAGTGGGTCATCCTGTATCCTTATTTAGGAAAGCCATAGTCATACGCAGAATATAACTTGGTCTGCCTGACTTCTTCTGCCCAAGGCTTGAGCCACATCTCCACTTTCTGCTTGTGGGTGGGTGGGTGGGGTGTTAATTGGAGATTAAAATCCCAAGCTAGCTTCAAACTTCAGTCCTCAATGTCAGCCTCCTGAGTTGCTAGGATTACAGGCCTAAACCACCAGCGCCCAGCTATTAATGGTTTCAGTTGCAAACTTTTATTTGCCTTACACATTATAGTAAAGGCATAACTAATAAAAAAAAAGAAATGATACTAAGAGTAAACAATTCCACCTACAATGCAGATGCCATATCATTAGCTTAATTTGAGAAGAAGGACAAGTTTGTGGGCGACAGACAGATATTACTTATCTAATTATACCATCAACCACCCAGTTAGTCTGTTTGCTCTGCTCACTTTTTCTATGGAGAACTCTGTAACTGTTGAGCAGAGTCCTTTAGGAATGCACCTGTTGCCAGCTGGTTTTGCCATCTTCTGGAAGAACGTGTAGGGGAGAAGCCTCCACCTCCCCTTCGGTCCCGCGCTCCTGATGAGCAAGGATGGACATTAGGGAAGAAAAGACATGTCACTGATGTAAGACTAAGGCTGCGCCACGGTTCGAGTCTCTTTCTCGCAGATGCAAAATGAATCCTCTATCCTTTGCAATCCCCGCCCCCCCTTGTAAATGCTGGGTTAATGGCTGTGTTCTGGTTGATGGAGGAGAGGAAACACCTGAGTGTGGAAGAGAGCTCGAGGAGGGACCATTCTCCCCGTTCCAACCAAAGTGAACCGCTCTCGGTCTTTCTGCACCGAGTTATTCAGCGGTTCTCCGAAGTGCAACTTGGCCCCGCGTCTCCGAGAGACAGAAAAAGTTGCCCGAAGTCGGAGCGGTGAGTCACGGGCTGGCGTGGGGTGAGTCACCGCAGGTGTCTCGGAAGAGGGTCCGGCCGGAGAGGGAGGCGCGTCCGATGGCCCCGGGGAGGGCACCGGCCGCGCGGGAGCGAGGGCCAGACCTGGAGTTGATCAAATTGCGTCACGTCGCTCCCGACCCGGTCCAGATGTTCCGGACACCGACGGGTTACCAGCTCGGAAACTCTCGATCACGCAGGCGAAAGGAGAGGAGGCGGCTAATTAAATATTGAGCAGAAAGTCGCGTGGGGAGAGTGTCACGTGGGTGCCCCGGGCTCGTCACGCCTGAGATAAATACCGCGAAGCCCCGGAGCAGGCAAAAGAGCGCGGAGCCGGTCCTCCCTCCCCGCAGCCACCGCGCGCGGAGCCGCCCGACCGAGACCCGACCCACCGAGCCCCGGACCCCCTCCCACCCCCGAGGGCCGGTGGGCCGCAGTAAGTACCGCGCCCCGCTGCGCCCGCCCGGGCTTCCCGGCTCTCCCAGCCCCGAGCACCGGTCCCGGGCTGCAGCTGGCGGCGCACGCACGGGTGCCACTGGAGCCCCCTTAGAGAAACCGGTTTGCCTCCCTTTGTCTCCTGCCTGCAGAGCCTCCCGGGCTGGGGGAGGTCACTTGGGTGTGGGGGTCTGGGGTGCTGAAACACAAGGAGAAAAGAATTTGAGAATGTTGGGGTACAGGCGGGATGTTTAGCTCCGATGGATTTTATCTTGGCACAATCAGAACCGAATTTCGTTCTGGGGCTCCTCTAAACTCTTGCATGGCCACCCCAGATGTGTGTGTGTGTGTGTGTGTGTGTGTGTGTGTGTGTGTGTGTGGTGTGTGTAATTTCCCTCTTTCCTCTGGTCTTCCTCCCGACTCTCTCCAGAAATCCAACATGAAAATCCTCGTGGTTTTGGCCGTGTTTTTTCTCGTCTCCACTCAGCTGTTGGCAGAAGAAATGGGTGCCAACGATGATCTAAATTATTGGTCTGACTGGTCGGACAGTAACCAGATCAAGGTGAGACCCTGTCCGGTCCGGTATGATCCGACCTGTGAGCTGTTCTTCCCGTGCTCCCCAAACTGTTCTCTTCCCCTTCCATGCGACCCGGGCTAGACTGGCGGGAACTGAAATGCCCAAAAGACATTGGAGGCGCGCGGTGGGTTGGAAATGGGGCGCCATCCCCCCGGGTCCCGCAGGAGATTTGGGGCGCAGAAAATAAATTCCCTTCTGAGGGGGTTGCTTATGGGGCCCAGGAACCCCCTGAATGAGTGAGGGGCAGCATGTCCCAGATGAGCCCGTGCCTTCACAGGATTGGAAACCCCACAAGGGGTCATCTCCTGGTAAGGGAGATTTCAGGGGCTTCCTCCAGTGGGGGGAGGGGGGCAGGGAGGGCGGGAGGGGGTTGAGACGCTAATTTCCTGACTTCACATTGAATGCGAGCGCACCTTAAATGGAAATAGCCTACTGCAGGTCAGTTGTAAAATATGTGCACCTTCACCCCAATTCCAACGTGCAGGCACCTGTGGGCATGTAGGCCAGGAAGGGGCTCCCCAAGTTCATCCCAGAGACAAAACAAGTCCCATGGCAGCGCACTCGGTGGGTGAGGGTGTCCAAGATGTGAGGACCAGCAGAAAGCACTCAGGGTTGGAAGACACTGCTGCGCTGCTCCCACCTAGGCAGCAAGGCTGGCTTCCTGGAAGAGGCCGCGGGCCTGGGGTGGGTGGAGAAGGGAGAGGCCTCCGTGACAGCCCCTTCTGACCACTCTAAGCCAAGACTGAGAGCATCTGGGAAGAGGCCTCAGCTCACGAGCCACTGGAGGGTACCATGGGAATGAATGATGCGGGTCACTGTGCGCCTCACAATGGATTTCTCTGTGCCCTGTTTCCCCCCCAGGAGGAGCTACCAGAACCCTTTGAGCATCTTCTGCAGAGAATCGCCCGGAGGCCCAAGCCTCAGCAGTTCTTCGGATTAATGGGCAAACGGGATGCTGGTGAGATGAGCCACAGTCCTTATCTAGATCTCAGGGGCAACCGGCCCCTTCTGCTGGCTGGTTTCTGAGCGCTCAAGTGTCTCCCAGTCTTTGAGTAGAGATTTCCACCCAAAGGGAGTTGTGATTCCCAGGGCAGGGCTGGCCTGTAACTCTATGCCACACACACTGCCTAGTGATGCAGGGAGAGATTCATTTCTCCTGCGTCACAGTATTAAAGCAAGAAAGGAAGAATGATCCTTAGTTAAGCACTTCCCAGACTAAAAATCCAAATCACAAAGAGGGAGAAGACAGGAGCTTCTGGGAGTGTGCTCTAAGTGATCCTAGGGCGTGTGGAAACTGACTTGGGGCGTTCTCTGGGGCTCGGCTCGAATGTGCTGCTCCTTGCTGCATGATAGAAATATTTCCTTTCCTTGAGTTCATTGCACCATCTCTGGAATGTATGAATAGTTAATATCAATTCATCTCTTGTCAGATTCCTCAATTGAAAAACAAGTGGCCCTGTTAAAAGCTCTTTATGGTAAACATTCCTATAACTATTTTACTATTGTGAATGCACACGTAAGAAAGTGAAGCACATATTGTGCTGAACTCAAGCTGTTACTAAGGCCTGTTTATGAATAGCATCTCTGTCTCTATCTCAATGTGTGTGTATGTGTGAGCATGTGTGTATGTGAGCTGAAATGGGGTGCAAACCTCAAAGACAGAAGATAAGAGAGCCTTACACTTAATAACAGGCCTCAAGCACCCCACAGCTCTAGATTTGAATCTGTGGTCCATAAGAAGCATTTAATAAACATTCTTTTTGTTTGTTTAAATATTAGGCTTTCATTAGTAATTAGTTATTATTTATAGTTCTGCTATTCATCATATATACACATATATAAAGCATCCCATATTTTGAAGATCAGTTTATTTTATAATTCTTTATTAAAGATACAAAGTAACTTCTTCAAAAAGTTTTCTTAATATTAACATTTTTTACTTTCTTCTAGGACATGGCCAGATCTCTCACAAAAGTAAGTTCAGAATTGTTTTGACACTTATCAAAAGCTAATGCTACTTATATTAAATTCTACTGTATTATCTTATTTTCAGACATCACTAAGGGCCTAATATATTTAACTAAAACAATATAAGAAAGTCAGACACACCCACAATATGATTAAATAAATGAGTAGTATTATAACTCTGTTGTTTAGGCATATTATACTTACCAAAAAGATGCAGTACATTGAGAAAACAAAAATGAAAGTCCTTTAGCACCTGTAAACTGCTGGTTTCAGATTTTAGTACTAAGGTTAGAAGTCCATCACATGCATCCATCTCCCATCTCTACCCTCCATGTGCACTTACACTGAAGGAACCCCAAAATTTATAGACATATTTTAACTCAGTGACATGACCCCCCCACAGTGACCTCATGTGGAGGGTAACATCCAGAATCCAATTAAGTAGAATGGGTGAATTATCTGAATAGGGAATCCACAACTGAAGTAAACATGGATAGAAATGCTGCTCTAATCCCATATTTCAATGGGAAACCTCACTCTGTAAATCACTGTCTTAGGGCTATGAAGATAGCAGAATTATGGCTCTGGAAGATCATTCAGTTCTCGTTTCCTTGTTAATGACTCCAGTCCATAGGGAGTCTCCAGAGTCCATTTTAATCACAGGGTCCAGTTACATGCCCTGTCTTGGATTTGATTCACCGAGAGGTTGGGTAGGCATCAATACAGGAGAAGCTCTGCTCTCAACTAATAAAGCAAAACACCAAGAGGAATCCTCTCAGTAGCCTTAACATTATAACCTTTTTATAAAGAGTTCATCTTTGAGAATAAACAATTGTTATTCATATTGTCTTCCTAAGGATTTGGTTATTCTATATAGTGAAATTCAATATAATAAAAGCAAATTCACCCTACAAATGTCAAAATTAATATATTTTCCTTTAAAAAGTATTTTAAAAACTTCTAATAAAATAGTGGCCTTTTGGAAGATGGCAGTCATCAAGGATAGAGATCTGATTTAACTAATAATGGTCACTTGCTAAGAAATATAATATATTCAGTCACATCATGAAATAACTTGGGTATTATTCTCACCCAAATGTAAATTGACTCTCCTCAAATCAAAGCGACCTCAAGAACCAACAATAGTCAAAATTTAAGGTAATGATAAAAATATAAAATGGATAAAAGAGAGTGCTAGCATTTAAATATAGAATTGACAAAATTAATTTCAAGCTATTGTTTTAGTGCAATGTGTAAGACTTATAAGGAATCTTCATTTCTTTGGGCTTGTCAAAATTCAAAATAGATATATATTTATTATATAGCCATATATTCAGAAGCTTGCTTTATTTTGTACTAGTCATAACTATTTATTTCCTCAAAGACATACATATTAAAATACCCCTAAATGTATTTTTTCAGGGCATAAAACAGATTCCTTTGTTGGACTAATGGGCAAAAGAGCTTTAAATTCTGGTATGTATAAAATCATGACTAAAAATAGTATCGCGAAGCTACTTCTGTTATTTTTGTCAAGTATAGTTTTGAAAGTATTGTACAGGAATAATATATTTAAATCAGTACTTTTGGCAAGCACATTTAATGGAAGCAATCTAGCCAAAACTGGATTCACAGCTGGTTAATGTCAATCTATTTCCTTCAAATCACCAGCTTTACCAGTCAGTGTCTACCCCATGTAGTCATACCCACCTTTAATCTTTAGTCAGATCTAGTCCTCTCCTTACAGTTCTATTCCATAATTAATATTCAACCTTACTGAAATAAGGGGGGGGAGGGAAGGATGCAGGGAGAGATGAGAGGATCAAAGGGAAATGTGAGAATTTTATAAGACATTAGATTTGGTAATATTCCAATGCAAAAAAATAAACAAAGCACACAAAATTCTTATACAAATACTTTGCCCTTTATGAAGTTACAGAAGTCAAAATTTAAATGTCCTGATGGATGTTGGTGAGGATGAGAGCAATACGGTCCATTCCAATCCCTTCATACAGGAGCATGTTCACGTCATCCTTGAGTGCAGCTAGCTCCAGCTGCAAAACCCTAGGAAATTCTCATGATACATTTTTAAATCTGAGCAATCATTTCACTTAATCTAAAGGTTGCATTTTTTTCTTCTCTTTAGTTTATATCTTCTATGTGATTCTGCTATGACATATATATAGACTCTTTAAAAAAGGACTCTTATTCATCACATTATTTTTAAGGTTAAATAACTCAATAATGTTTTTTATGGAATTCAAAATTTTAAGTACATCCAAACCTTGGAGATCTTAGTCTAAATTCCTTGAAATGGCAATTTAAATTCTCTTTGTTTTTTCATATTACATTAAAAAGTACTCACTTAACCAGCTAGAAAGTCATCAGCAATTCTCTTACTTATTTATAATATTTTTATTCCTACAATATCTGTAGGCTGTGCTGATTTTATTCTTGAGTATTTGCATTCGCACAAAATAATCATTCTAGTATTTATGCGATTTCTTTACTTTGAAATTTTTGGTACTACCTTTGTATTTACTCAGCAAAAACTGTGGGCCTCCTCAACTTTTAGATTTTAAAGATGTTGTTAAGTGTATCTAATGAACATCTTGCAATTGTTTTATTAATATATATTTTGTTCCAGCTTTTGGAAATGGGATACAAATTTAAACCATAGTGGCATTGGTTTGTCTCTTACATCCCTGTGGATCTGTTAATAATGGTATAGGTCATTAATAATCCATCTCCAAAACTGATAAAAATTTTCAGAGCATATTTAACTTCATAAACAATATGGGTACTGTGCAAGTTAGAACAGATTGGATGTACAATATGTAATACTATAATTATAGATAATAAAAATAGGATGCACTGTAATGAATTGGGATCACTTTTTAACTAAGACTTTATTCTTCCATTTTAGTTATGAAAATACAAGAGGAAAAAATAGGAAAGATGCAATGTATAATCAACTGGGGATTTTTACATATACTGTTGATACAGGATTAGCATTATCTTTTTGCATAGCTACAGCTCCCTATAATAATCTCATAAATGTGCAACTCCTCAACAATTCAGACACACAGAGGAGTTGGCATGTAGTTTCAGAGAGCTCAAGGACTAAATAAGGAGTACTACTCTTGGAAGAAGAGGACATTATGTCCCAGCTAAATGGTTACTCTTTCTTTAGGTACTTCAATTAGCATTCATCTCATTTCTGAGTGGAACAAAGTTGTCTTACCTAAAGCTTATTAGGAACTGGCTTGTGCTAATTATTCTACTAATAAGAGAGGATGAGAAATGAACTTCACTGTCCATCAAAAATAGTCAATTTGGAGCTCAGTTTGTTCTGTCTCTGATTTGCATGCATAATTTATGCAAAACACTTAGCTTATTGTTCACCTCACATCAGTGATAGGTGAACTTTATAGTTCAGTCTTAGAAGGGGGAATGTGATAACTCTGAGCCTTTTACCCATCTGTTCTCTCAATAAACTCTTCTCATTGAGAAGACTATTTAGATGAGTTCCTGATTCTTGATAACCCATTTTTCTGTTTTGGGTTTTTTCATTTTTTATTTAAATTCAGTATTTTGTACAGGGAACACCAGTTTTCTAAATGCACATTAGATTCAGTATAATGTAAATTGAAACTTATAAAGTATGAGCTAAGATGATGAAAAATATCTCTGGTTATATGACTGATCCTTAACTTTTATAATTACAGATCCCATGAAATTAAATGTGATTAATATACTAATGTAGTTTAACAATTTTATCTAGAGAGTCAAAGTATATAAATTACTGACTAACTTATGTGTTATATACCTTTTGATCTGTAATTAATCTTGTCAGGGTGCTAGGAGGTAAATTAAACTGAGCTGTATTTTGTGGACTTACATTTTCATACAGAAAATGAAGTTGTTTTTCATCTCTAGGACAATCTATCATTGAAATATACAGACCCTCACATACCTCAAACAGAGATAAACATTTTCTGAAAGGAATAAGTCATAAATATTTTAGGCTTTATGTGCCATGGGATCTCTGTAGCTACTATTCAAGACTGCCATTTTATAGCCAAAGCAATGATGCATAACACATAAATAAATCAAAGGTGTCTGGGTTCCAATAAAGCTTTCCTTATAAGAACAAATGGTTGGCTAGATTTGACCTGTGGTCTCTACATTTTTTAACCCTTATCTTATCATGAAAATTCCATGTTTCACATTTACCCTACTAACATTGGTTACTTTCAGCCTGGTTCTTTCTATAATGCACTGTATCTGCTTGAAAAAGCTGCTGAAAATCCTCAGCACCACATAAGCAGAAAAAGCTGGTAATTGTGCTGTGGCTCAAGTGGTAGAGTGCTAGCCTTGAGCTAAAGAGCTGAGGGACAGTGCTCAGGCCCAGAGTTCAGGTCCTACTACTGACCAAAAAAAAAAGGAAAAAGAAAGAAAGAAGAGAGAGAGAGACGGAGAGAGAGAGAAAGAGAGAGAGAGAAAAGCAGGGATGGAGGGAGGAAGGGAAAGAAAGGAAGGAAGGAAGGAAGAAAGGAAGGAAGGAAGGAAGAAAGGATGGAAGGAAGGAAGGGAAGAAAAAGAAAGAGAGAAAGCTGCTGAAAATCAACATTGCACTATATCCTGGAAATACATTGTATAAAATAGATTGACAAAGAATTCAAAGGATTTATGGTCAGATCTTCTAATCAGAATAGAGAATGAGGCAGGATTGCAAGATGTACAAATCAAATCCCTAGAAATACTTTTTGAATGGGGAGTAGATCCTTACCACAAATTAACTGATGTGTCCATAACTTTGACTCCTTCAGTGAATCCTCTTAAAACATCTTCTCCTCCTGTTTTCAGTGGCCTATGAAAGGAGTGCAATGCCGACTTATGAAAGAAGACGTAAATAAACTATGTAAAATGTATTTATTAAGCTTCATTTGTGTCAATGGATAATGAAAGGTAAAATAAAACATGCACTATGATGAATAATTATTTATTTAGTAACAGTTGTTGTTATGAGTTAAAGACTCAAAAAGTGTTTATTTTTCTTATTGTGTCAATGTGTGTTGTAAACTGGTGTTGTAATGATAATTCTCTCAAAGTTAGATATCAATGGTAATTTCTCAACAAAGCACAGTATCCAATCCAGTTGTAAACACTTGCTAGTGACAGTCAGTCTCCAGAGAAAGAAACGGCTGCTCTGAAGCATGAGTTACTGCTCAAAGGGAGGGCACTCCTGCCTGCTCCTGTTCTCCCACTGATTGCTTTCCTCGTGAAAATATACTGAGTCTGCTCTCAATTTGTATTTGTATCCTTGCAGCATGTATCATGTTCTGTGACTGTATAGAGATGTTTTTAAAGGTTTTAATGTGATTCTAATGTATTCATTCATTGTATGATGTGTTGTGATAGCTCCCATTTTAAATAAAACAAAAAATATCTTCAGCACTTTTGTTGTATTCTTTCATTAATATTTATGTCAAATCTGTAGCCTTTCTCTTACTAGATATGGAATGTATAAAGATATGAAATGTGTTTTGGTTAAAATGCAGTTTCTCTCTCGCTCTCATTCATATACAAATACATCTACATACATGATCACATACGTAACTATGAGCCTCCCATACACTTTTTTGTGTTAAGTCATTTGCATAAGATGATTTGTGGGAAAAAATAAATGCTTTTTGGAAACTGAAAAAAGTAAAGGCTAACTCTAGTTAAGTATGTCCATGATTTCTGTTTACAGATAAACATCTGTCCTATTTTGCAGATGAATTCCACTGGTTATTTCCTTACTGAGTAGACCTTCACTTCAGCACACTACCACTTCAGCTCTATTTAAACCCCAGTATCATTGCACATGAGCCCCACTAACAAGTACCTGTGAATTGCTAACAACTCTGGCTCTGTTGAGCAGATGCCTGATGAATAAACACAGGAAACTAAGAGACAGGAGTGCATATATTAATCCATGGAGAAGGATGGATAAGTATCCTTGTAATTCAGATTGTTCCATGTGTGAAATAGTGACAGGTGGTAAAACAGGGCAAGAACAGCACCATTCAGTAAAATAAAAGTCTATAAATTTAGCCTGTACTAGTGACTTCTGTTCATCAATGAAACTATTTATAGGAGAGGAGAGTCATGGCATATTTAAACTTCTGTGTCTTTACTGAAATGATTTGCTTTTAATAAGAAAACCTCTAACTTGATTTTCTTTATTACACAATACAGTTGAATATTATAAATTATATAGTGGAGAAAATGCAAATCATCTAGAGCTTCACTTGTAATATTCTAACTGCCTGAAGTAATTACAAAAATCAATCAAAATAGCTAAAGCTGTACATATATTTAGCCACTTGGTGAAGAAGTGTTAACATTATTATTACCATATTCATGGTAATATACAAAATAAACCTTATGGAAGTGTTAGGATCAGAGATTATAATATGAGAGGAATCAGGATGGTGAAGGAATTATTGAGGAAATAGCAGAATAATATAATATCTACCTAACTATGAAGTTGATTAAACAAGAAAGTATGGTAGTCATTTAAAATTACATTATTGTATACTTAATTACATGGAACAACAGATATGGTATGTTGTCAGATACAAATCAATATTTCAGTGATATATACATAATATATATTTTTGTAACCCTATTGTAACTAGAAGAGCAATATAATGAATAAGAGTAAATGTTTCAGAGTCAAATTATTTAATTTTGGTTCCATGGCTTAATGATTTTTGATGATTAAAAATTCCTTTTATCTTTATTTATTTTCCTCAGCAGCAGCATTGGCACCACAATAGTACCCATTACAGAGAACTTAAGCTAGTGCTGAGTGAAATGATACATGTGAAGCCTGAAGATGTGTGAAACTGAATACAGCTTCTCTCTCTCTCTCTCTCTCTCTCTCTCTCTCTCTCTCTCTCTCTCTCACACACACACACACACACACACACACACACACACACACACAGAGGAACAGAAAATGCTACCTGTTGGCAAATGACTCTGCGAAAACAAGTCCAATATTTAGCCATTCAAATTTTGCCTGCACACTAAATAACAGCAGTTGGGCGCAGCTTTTAAGTATTTTCCTCATAAATCTAAAGCCATACCACAAATTCTGCAGCGCTTTGTGTTGCTGCTGGCTGCATGAGCTAGTGCCTTCTTCCTGATTCTGAGATTCTGTAAATCTCCACAGCACAATCCCACAGTGTTGCCTGGAGAAACTCAGCACTGAGACCTCCCACTTGCTTGTTTGCCCTCCAGGCCCAGGAACATAATAACAGTGTGAATAGAGAGCAGTTGAGGGATGCAGCTTTGATTTGCGCTCATCAACGATTCACCATTACTTTCCTTGGTGACACATTTCCTTTATTCAGTACCCTTTCTGAAATATTTTATTCTATTATAAACCATCCAAAAGATTGCTTCATTTTCTCTTTCTTTTTTTTTGTTTTGTTTTATATTGGTCAAGAGAAATGACACTCAAGTTGAAAGATTTCAGGAGTGTTTCTAAAATTCAAGTTGGATTTAGTAAAGTGGAGGCCCAAGTCTTGTTAGGGTCTGTGGAATAATTCAGCTACTCAGTTTCTTCCACAAATTAAAGCCATTTGCAAACAGAAAATTTATACCCACCTTCTTTGAAGGAATTACTAGAGGAATTGCTACTACAAGAAAGCAAAATCTAGGAAGACATAATTAACCAGAAACAATGAACAAAGAAAACATTTTAAGAACAGTTTAAAAATCATTTTCAGAATACTGCTAAAACAAACAACAGATAGTGAAGAGTACTTGGCCAAAAGGGAATCTAATACACTATTAGTGGGAATGTAAGCTTGCTCAACCACTCTGGAAAGCAATATGGAATTTCCTCAACAAAACTAAACATACTAAACTAAACAAAACTAAACACTCTATGATCCAACAATTCCACTCCTGGGCATTCATCCAATGGAACACAAACAAGGTTACAGTAAAGCCATCAGCACAACCCTGTTCGTTAGAACACTATTCACCATAGCCAAGATATGGAATCAGCCCAGATGCCCTTCAATGGAAGAAGGATCAAGAAAATGTAATATATATATATAGATAGATATAGATATATATACACACACACGCATATATATACATACATAAGTAAGTATGTATACATGGGAATTTTACTCATCTATTAGAAGGAATGCTATTGTACCATTCCTAAGGAAATAGAAAGTCTTTGAAAAAGTTATATTAAGTGAAATATGCTCAGACCCAGAGGAACAAAGATTCCATGGTTTCCCTCATTTGCAGTAGCTAGAATGTACCTATAAATCTGTAAGTAAACACACTGGACGGTGTGGTAACAAATCAATTGGCTGAAGTATAGAAGACTCTATGGAGATAATATAATCTTTTAGAAAAACGGTGGGGGAAACAGAAAATGGAGGCAAGAATTCATTGTTTATACCACAAAGCTAAGAAAAGAAGGGAAAAGGGTAGGGGAGGTAAGAATGTTGAAGGGGTGACACTGATCAAGATGCAATCCGTTCATAAACTGCTTTGTTAAATGCCACCTCCTTTGTACAACTATATAGAGATAATTTAAAAAATAAAAAAGAAGGTTAAAATGTGTTTGTGACTTTAAGTATCATTATTCCACAATACTGTGAAATATGGGAAATTTATGTAATCACCTAATCTCAACTAAAAATAAATAAATAAAAATTAAAAAGAATACTGCTAAAGTGTATGTGTATACGTGAGTTAAATAAGCAATTTTGAAATAAAATTCATATCACATAGCAGCTAGGAGAGAAGGAAGGACCAGTGTACAAAGAATAAATGCATACTAAACTTCTTATTTTGTTGAAGAATAACACATAGGCATTCTGAACTTTTTTCCAGAAAGTGCTGATTTCTGTGCAGAAACTAAAAGTGTACAAAAGACAAAACTGAAAGAATGGATGAATTCATAGCTGTCAAGAAGAAGGAAGAAATGCAAGATACAAGTAATCCACAGAGAGCAAGAAACATTTTTTAACTTTGCAAATAAAAACTAGAACAATGAATTAAAACCTACAAATGTGATCAGTTTTATCAGACCTATCAAGAACGTGCTGGCAAAAGTGGCAAAAACCTGTAGGAAAATAAAGCTAGATCCTTACATATCACCCTGCATTAGAATCAACTCCAAATGGATCAAAGACCTCAGAGTCAAAGCAGACACCCTGAAAACATTACAGAAAGGAA